TCTGGAAGACTGTAGAAGGGTCCTCCCCTCTTCTATTGAGGGTCTGGTAGGCTGGGATTGACACTGAGGCATAAAATCCAGCAAGCAGATGCTGCTGGCTTTGATCAGCTCTTTGTAAAGCCTTCACACCCCTTTGCAAGGGGAAGTTTCCAGATGTGGGGATAGCAGTCTGCACCAGCACGCTTTTTGCCGAATCAGTTCATTCTTCTTATTTATCATTTGCAATAGCACAAGCCCACAGTATGCTGAATCCTGCTAAATCCTACACATACAACAGCAAACACAGCATCCAGCAATGATCCCTGCCCAGAAAAGTGTGTCGTGGCAGTGCAAGGCAGGGAGGCACACCGGGCACACCACGACATCAGTACAACAGCCATTTTGACTGCAAATGTCAAAATTCTTTACCTTCTCCATACTGACACCATTGCTACTACATGGGAAATATGGGTTATTTATTCAGTCAGCTCTTTCTTGACATGATAAGGGTTACCTGGAGAAGACGAGGGCCTGATATTTTATTACCTGTGGATGCTTTACTCCAGTCAAGCTAATTCAGAGCAGGGAAGGATGGCTTTTTGTGAGACACCTATGATGTGGTGTGGAATTGCTTATCAATGCTTGCACCCCCATCTACAAATACACATGGTAAAAACTCATTAGCTGCAGCAAAGCTCTAGGTAAGTAGCAGGGGAGGAGCGTTGAGCAACAAAGGATGGTTCAGCACTGATCTGAGAGCCGCCTGCCAAGCCGCGTCTGCGCTTTAGAAAGGAGGCAGCGTGCTGCAGATAACAGGGGCATGCCGCACCTTGCAGAGCTGAGCCCTTCAGGCTCTGCACCTCATGCCTTGAAAGTCCTTGCTGAGCACTACATAGAGGCCCCCAAATCCCTTCTCCACCCTCAAAGACTGAGGACATTGTGCTAAGTAAAGGTGGTGGGTGCAGCTCTGTGGCTTCTGGGTTACAACCTCCTTCCTCTGCCACACTGCTGAGAAGATGCAGAAGCCATCAGAGCCGGCTCCACACTGGACTGCAAGGCTCTGCTTCAATTAGAGGGGGCTGGTGCAAACACCAGCCTTGCCTCCAAGTGCTGATGCGTTAGGTGTGTCGATCACATACCTCCAGGCATACCCCCTATCTGTTACTGCTCCTGCCACACTTTTGGAGTTCCATCGCTGATTGCTTAATACCCCACTCTGCTCAGTGCTGTCAGCTGCACATGTGGGGCGACAGGCTTCAATACACAGCGACGCAAGTTTCCTCATAAAATGTAATGCAATTCTAGGGGAGGCATGCAGAGATTTAAGAAATAAACGTGATTTAAATGCAAAAAAATTGCACGTATACTGTCCTGGTTTCAGCTGCCTGCCAGGTTAAACCACGACATATATCATGGAGGATGAAGAGCAAGATCATCAGAACTGTCAGCTGGAGGCGATGCTGGCTTTTTGGAGGCTGGCTTTTCTGAACAGATTACTGTTTCTACAAATCTCAGTCACTTCATCTACGAAATTGAATGCCCAAGGGAAACCTTTAACTGTGAGGGTTTTTGCTGCCTCTTTCTGAATGGCTATGGTTTCACTGTCGTCATCATCTTCCTCAGACAGACCAAGATCCATCATGTCACTCAAGGGTGAAAGATCGAAAAACAGGGTTAAAAGCTGGGCATTCAGTTTCATAGATGAACCAGCAAAAATCCTTTTGTATTGGAGCTGCTTGT